GATTCTGTAACTCGTTATTGGAGTTAACGACACTTTCGTTATCGTTGCGCAGCTTTTGTATACCGTAGAAAAGCTGCGCAACAATAACGAAACTGTCAACTCCAATAACGAGTTACAGAATCGCACCACAGTGCGTGCAAACTCTTATGGAGCGAAAATGATTAGCGTTAGCAGCGCTCTCTGAGATGGGACATGTGAGAAATCGGAACTAATTTATAGCCGCCATATTGCTACATAGTTGCGTTCGTTTTAATGCTTTAATGCTTTAAGCCTTCAATAAGGAAAAAAAAAGTATTACGAAGAAGAGGTGTTACGAGGAAGAAGCACGAGAAGAAGCAGGTGCGAGAAGGAAAAACTTTTAATATTACTGCCAGTAACGACAACCAAAGTGTAAGTTTTGTTTTTATATATTGTATTGTATTTATATATAAATATTATGCATTAGTATAATTGTCCACTTTTTACTAACAGAGACTAATAAATAAAAAATAAAAGTAAGCTTTGCTAACATAGCAAGAGCTAACATGCAATATGCTAACATAGCAAGAGTAAGTTTGATAAAGATTGTAGAAATTCTTAGTGATGCTTGCTTGCATGAAGTTTGTGCTTAGTTTCTGCTATTAATCTGCTGCTAAAAAAATTTGATACACCTTGTGAACGAGCTATTTCAGCAGATTGATGACTGAAAACAAGAAGAATATGTTATGATTATTCTTGAACGTAATGTTATATTAGCTAATTGCTTTTTGAGCATGAGCTGCATGCAGGCATAGATAGCTAAAATTTCCTCATGGAATCTACTCTATATATATATATAATTTATGAAGATATTTATGTACTCTCTCTCTCTCTCTCTCTCTCTCTCTCTCTTGCAGAAGGACTACAAGAAGACTTCAACAAGGGAAGAAGAAAAAACAAGAAGAAACAGTTACTCAAGAACCATCAAAATCTTTTCCCTGTTAGCGACAAACAACTTGTTTTATTTGAATATGCATGATACTGTAATATTGTATACTGATGATGCAAATATCCGTTTAACTAAATACAGGTTTATTTTTTTTATAGGTCTCATAACAGCTGGATCAAGATGATACGAGTATGTTGTGTACCAGGATGTTCGACAGGGAAGACAGCACCATCACATAAATTTTCACGAAATGCTGAATGTAGGCTACAATGGTTCAAGAATTTGAAAATGGAGCCAGTAGAGGGACCTGAGGAGAAAAAGTTATGAGTATGCTACAACCATTTTTAGGACAGCGATAATATACAATTTTATTACAAATTTCTTTTAATATTATTATATTAGGTGCGCAACTAAGTTCTCGTTGTTTTTCAAGAGATGGCTCCAGTAGTAAGTGCTGGTCGAATGTGACATAACCAAAACGTCATGAACCAAGCTTAGACATATGGTAAACAAACCACTTTGACACATTAGTGATTTTGTTTTTGCGTCATATACTTTTGGTTGTGTGAAAATGTCTGATTTTGTGCCAAATAATCGTCATTTGCGGGAAGTGTTGCTTTTCTTCTTTCATTCGAAGAAAACGGCGGCTGAAGCGCATCGAGAACTCCAAAAAGTTTACGGAGATGCTACTCTAAATGAAACAACGTGCCGTGATTGGTTCCGTCGCTTCAAAGACGGTGATTTCGATGTTGACGACCATTCGCGTGAAGGAAGGCCAAAAACCTTCGAAGACGCTGAATTGGAGGCATTGCTCGATGAGGATCCGTGCAAAACGCAAAAAGAGCTTGCTTCAGCATTAGGAGTTACCCGCCAAGCTATTTCCAAGCGATTGCATGCGTTGGGAATGATTCAAAAACAAGGAACTTAGGTTCCTTATGATTTGAAGCCAAGAGACGTTGAGCGTCGTTTTTTCGCCTGTGAACAACTACTCCAGCGGCAAAAAAGGAAGGGTTTACTTCATCGCATCGTTACGGGTGATGAAAAATGGATTCATTACAGCAACCCAAAGAGAACAAAATCATGGGGACTGCCCGGTCATGCTTCTACGTCGTCGGCTCGGCCGAATATTCACGCTGCGAAGGTTTTGCTATGTATTTGGTGGGACCAGGGCGGTGTTATTTATTATGAGCTGTTGAAACCGAACGAAACCATCACTGGGGAACGGTATCGAACTCAATTGATGCGATTGAGCCGAGCACTGTGCGAAAAGCGGCCACAATACGAGCAGAGGCACGAAAAAGTGATTCTACAGCATGACAACGCTCGGCCTCACGTTGCCAAACCCGTTAAAACCTACTTAGAAACGCTCAAATGGGAAGTCCTACCCCACCCGCCATATTCCCCAGATATTGCGCCGTCCGATTATTACTTGTTCCGTTCGATGGCACATGGTCTGGCTAATCAGCAGTTCCGCTCATATGAAGACATCTCAAAATGGCTTGATTCGTGGATAACCTCAAAAGACGAACACTTCTACCGTGACGGTATTCGAGCTCTGCCAGAAAGATGGGAAAAAGTTGTCGCTAGCGATGGGCAATATTTTGAATGATTCATTTGTAACCATTTTTTCACAATAAAGTTGCATTTTCATCAAAAAAACAGCGAGAACTTAGTTGCGCACCTAATAAAATTTAGTATTATTGACAAATTATTGTCCTTATATTTATATTTAAGGTATTAATATTTCCTTTATGTATACATATTTACATTTTTTTCGTCAAATATATACATTTCACAGAATACACATTATTTTTTGCATTTTTACTTCACACTAATATTCTTCATATTTCCTATATACAGGGTGTCTCAGAACTTTGGGACACGGGCTCCGTAGGGACATAGAGCTAAGTGAGAAGAACAAAAAAGTCCTCTACCATAATGTGAAAATCGTAATAGTTTTTTAGTAATAACCGCGTAAAGTTTGGCTCTTTCTACGCCCATTGCGGCCTATAGACGCTCCGCGGCAAACTGTGTACGTAGAAGCTGAGCAATAACGCGTCTCGCGCTGACTGTCGCGATGGCGTCTTAGCGCTTTGACGCCGCACGACGGTCAGCGCGAGCCGCGTTATCGCTCAGCCCCTACGCATACGGGCCAGAGCACAGATTTCTGCATAACGCATAATATACAACACATAAGAGAATAAACCAATTAGTTTTCTTCATTTTCCTCCTCAAGATAGAAATGAAAAACTCTGATTGGTTGATTCTCTTATGCGTTGTGTATTATGCGTTATGCAGAAGTCTGTGCTCTGACCCTTTAGCTTGCCGCAGAGCGTCTATAGGCTGCGCTGGGCGTGGATAACGCCAAACTTTACGCGGTTATTACTAAAAAACTATTACGATTTTCACATTATGGTAGAGGAATTTTTTGTTCCTCTCACTTAGCTCTATGTCCATACGGAGCCCGTGTCCCAAAGTTCTGAGACACCCTGTATACTACACGCACATACGTGTTACATGTGTGCATAGGCCGGTATTCAAAGTCAAGTCTTATATTTAAGATCGTCTTAAGTATAACTTCAAATACCCCGTAGCCAATGAAATAATTTGTATAACATCTGAAGATGAACTTAAGACGGTCTTAAATATAAGATCCAACTATGAATACTGGCCATAGACAGCTATACATACACACATTAGCCGCGTTCAGTAGAACAAAGTGATCAGAAAGCGCTTAGTGATTATTGTCTGTGATTGGAGCATTCTTTTAGATTCTTCATAGACCCAGAAATATTTACCAATCAGGAGCGAGATTCAGTGGAAAATCTAGTAATGTTGTCCAACTGTTGAGTCTGCTGAATGCAGCCAATGGTTACGTTCAGAAAACAAAGCGCTCACTGAGCGCTTAGTAACTATTGGTCCTTACTGTTAGATCCTTACATTCAGACCAATAACGTTGACGAATTACTCAACCGTTATGTAACCCATGGAGGTAAGAATATATAGAGGGAGCATATAGGAGAACTATGGGTAAGGGGTGTGATTCCTAAGACGTAAGGGGGATTATGTGTCACTATCTTGGATAGGAACACTAATACATACCCTTGAAGGCTCGTCTACAATAGCTGTAAAAGTAAGGCTGTAAGGCTGCAACGTAAGCTGTCAGCGAATGAAAATATTTCATTTCGTGTCTTGCAACCTTACAGCCTTACTCTTACAGCTAATGTAGACGAGCCTTAATAGCACAAATATCCTAAGAATGTCCTAAGGACGTTTTGAGTATGTACATCCAACGTTCTTAGTACATCCAACGTTCTGAGTACATCCAACATTCTAAAAATATCCTCGAGACATTTCTGGGAGATTGTGTGCTGTCAGGGTACGAACTTATATATATGTAATATTTTAATAATATTAATTACTTACAAATGATAAGTAACCTCACTTTTTGCAGTCGATTGAAATCGAGAACGCGGTGTTTTATTTTTACACTGCTTTATTATACACTGAGGCATTGTTTTAATATTATAATTTAATATTGTCAACAATGTGTACAATTTAATAAATGTCAATTATTTTATATTTTTTTTTTATATAGGAGACTGTTTGAATCATGCAGGTAAGAATATATGGAGAGAGCGTAATAACAATATCAACCAATGAAAATGTGTTCCTATACAAGATGGCTGCGATTGAATCCCCCTTACGTCTTAGGAAGCAAGGAGTCTGTTCTTTATAGCTGCACTGCTGAACTAGTGCAATAAGTTAAAATGAGACAACTATATTTTTTCTCATTCTAACTTATTGCACTAGTTCAGCAGTGCAGCTATAAAAAACAGACCAAAGGTTTGTTATTACGCTCCCTTCATATTCTTACTTCCATGGTGTAACCGTTGTGTTTTCTGAACGCAGCCATTGACACATGACGCCATATTGAATTTTAGTACCACCGAAGAAATGTCCCATTTCAGAGAGCGCCACAAATGTTGGGCGCTAAATATACACGAGAGTTTAACGGCCCTGTTCCAGTCTTTTTTAGTCTTCTTTGTGGTATGTGTAACGTATAAATGTTTCTTCTTTGATTTGTAATCAGCAAGATGAAAGTATCGGAGTTTGCCACCAAAAAGAATACCGCTGTTAAGGTTAGTGTACTTATTTCTTCTGATACAAAGAATGTGTGCATACAATATTGTAACGTTTCTGTTTGATAAGCTATAATTGTCTAATCACTTGCGAATTTGAAAACTATGTATCCGCTTCTCTGTCGCGGCAGAGTCTGCGCAATAAATTTTTCCTACTCTCGATTTTGCCGTTCTTCTCACCGGTTTGTTATTGCAAGCAAAGATATTTTTATCATTTCTTTTAGTATAAATAAGATGTTTCAAGGTGATGTCATAGCAGGGATACTTGAAATATAAGTATTTTGATGTATTAAATTACTTCTTAAGGAAAATAGCGTAAAAATAAACCAATTTGATAAATAGAATTGGTAATGTCGCTCCTGTGTGCATAGGATAAATATTAGATATAGATATTAGATATGTATATTTGTTTTCTTTTATCAAAACAGGATAAAATCATCAGAGAATCGTTGCACATGTTGCAGCCATCAGCCATGGATAAAGAAAATCTGGTTGCTGCTGGTAGAATACTCAGATCTAATAAACAAACTAAGGAAGCAAAGACTGAAAAGTAAATTAATTGGAAAAGACTATAGGATTTTATTGTAATGAGTTGACTAAATATCATTGTGATATTTCAGTGTTACATCAGGCAAAACAAGATCTAGTCCTTCAATTAAATCTAAGAAGATTACATTTGAAGACAAAGCTGTACAGACTGCTCGAGGAGAAAAAATAAAAATTGAGGTTGAGGATTTAACATCTCTAGGTATAATTAACATATTTTTAGTTATTTATATTTTCTATATAAAACATTTTAAATTATTATGAAAATATTTACTTTTTACCTTTTGTTTATAGCTGGTCCCAGTGAGAACTATTGGGAAGTCTTGGCTGAAAGACGGCAAATAGCGCTTGATGATGCATTTGATGAAATTAAGACACTTAAAGATCGTATAGGGGAGAAACAAAATGAAATAAATAAGATAAAAGAACAAAACAAAAAATTAGAAGAAGAAAAAATTGTACGTGAGGAAATGTTAAAAGAATTAAGGACACTTATTGAAGTATTGCAGGTAATATTCAAATGTTGCATTAATATTTAATGCACAGTGTTTATTATTGTCTTATAATTAACTGTATATTCTATATTTTATTACAGGATATGATTCAAGATGACAGCAGTAGCATAAATCATTCATTGGATGACAGCATGCCATGATATGAATACAATATATAAAAAAGTAATATATACCCTCTTACATGATTAACATGTTAAACATTAGTATAGTTATGTATATATAATTTTAAATATGACACATTTAGTAAAACATCAAGCAAAACACTCAATTTTCTTTCTGGTGCATATATATATACATCATGTTACCATTATTTTCTTTTACTTGGATTGAATTTCTGTACACATGCATGATCACATTATAATCTATGTGATCAACCTAATTTTTAACAACACAAGTATAAAATATCAAGTAATACATAAACATATAGAGTGTCCCATAACTCAGTATGAGGAATTCGTGGAAAGGGGAAGGATAATGCACCGTTCGTGTCTTACCACTTCTACGTCTCCCCATGTGCAGCGCCGACAGTTGCTAAATCGACCGGGCCGCACTATAGCCTGAATGACTGCAACACTTCAGTCAATCATCTCTGAGTGCACTCATTTGTCAAATTTCTGTCATTAATGACTTGTACCTATTGCAAATGTCGCAAAACTGATATGGGACTTTTATGTTTATCTTAATTCAATCTATGTCTCCATAAATTCCTTGTATTGAGTTAAGAGACATCCTGTATATCAAATGTCTATAAGTAACTAGACAAGTAGCTCTTGTTTGAGTATAAACATTTAATATTTGGGTGTATCTTTTCCATAAAGGAGATTTTACCACGATAGAAAAATGGGTACATAGTCTTGAAGTTTATAAATGATTAGATAATTGAAGCTTATTAAACAGAAATGTTATAATATTGCATGCACATATTTCTTATATCTGAGGAAATCATATAGAATAGATTGCTAATTGCAGTGCTGGAGATAGAAAGATGAGTAAAGTGAGATGCAGACATGGGAACATGGGGACATCTATATCTTTTTCAAGCAAGAATATAATACATCATAATAGAACCCTAATCATAATGATATAGTGTTGTCAGAATTTTTTTTATGGTTATATTCCTGTTATATTCCTGCTTGGAAGAGAGATGGAAGAAATCCTCATATTGTTTGCATCTCATTTTACTTGCCTTTCTATCCCCACCATTCAGTAATCAGCAGTCCATTCTGTATGTTGATGGAAGAAATAAAGTGTATTAACTTTAGCAGCAGTGTTCTTTTTAGCAGCAGACTGCTACTTCCATCTTGCTGGCTATAAATAATCAAAGAAGAAGAAATATTCACGCGCTGCATACATTAAAGAGAAAGCTGGAAAAGGCTGAAAACGGCTTAAAACAAGAAAAATTTATTCAATATTGTTGCAGTTCTGGATGTTTTATAGTTTATGATATAGCTACGATGACATATATCAGCAATGTAGTGATATTGCATTGTTTTGATAGCTCGGTTACGTATCCTACTACACTGAGGAAGAAAATGATATATGAGTGTCTATTGTTTTTGGGAAAAGACTATTGGTTATCTTAATGTTTGTCTGAGCTTATTAGTTGACCGTCCCAGGTACATATTTCTTTATCTAGAGTTCCATAAACAAAGATCTAAGGAAAATATAAAATATCCTAATCGGAGTGACCCTCGAGTTTTCTAAGTATACACTTAGAATTTATCTATGGGTTTGACATGCCTGAAGTGAATAACGGTCATAAAGCAAACATTTGGTTGATTGAATGAATTATATAGTTACTGTGATGAGTTGTTAATTGATTCAATGATTGCGATTTGATTAGTAACGTTTTGCTTTAAAGCAAAAAGTATATGAAGTGCTTGTTAATGACCTTCAATTATTACAACAGAGAATAATACATGCGTGCAACGAAATTTCAGTTGCACAATGTCAGTCAGCCACTCGTTCTGTTATTGATAGGTGCAATGTTTGTCTTCGCGCTGGAGGTCAGCATTTTGAACAAAATATTTAATAATTACATTAAATTGATTACTGTAAAGCAATAAAGAGAAAAATCCAAATTATTTCGATATTATTCATTCCTATAGTTCAAAACTTCAAAAATCAATATCTCTTCAAGGAAGCATTTGCGAGCAAACTTCCAGATAAAATATTTGCTTGTTTTGAGGTCTTAAATTTATATTTTAAGTTTGACTATTTAACCCTGTATATAGGAGGAAGAAAATAAGAAAACAAGAAAACTACACAAAGTTTCAAAAATCCTATTTTTCAGCGTAACGGATTAGCCTGCATATTCCTGCGGCCATTATATATTCTTGGTCGCAACGGTTTTAGTATCTCTACTTGTAAATAATATCTGTGTGCTAAATGTTCATTTTTTTACAACACTTAACAATGCATTATATAACTTTGCATGCTGACTCGTAAAAATTTCATACAAAAACATTTTTTCGAAAGCAGATAGACATTAATTTTCTCGCAAGAAGCGAGAAGATAGCAAGGTGATGAGTCTCTTAAGGGCTTTACTGATAAGATTTAAATTATTAACATTAATAAAATGAATATTGATACACATTAAAATTTAATATTACATATTAACGTTTACAACACATATGCGTGTGTACATTCATAATTGAGTATAAAAATTATAAAAAATGGCCAGCCATTAACATTGTAATGTCATGGCTAGAAATTATCCACGCGGTCTCGAAATATTTTTTCTCGAAACGCGTAGCGCATTGCGTGAAAGAAGAGAAAAGGCGAGACAAGGATGTTCGTTTAGTGATAAGATCGCCGCTAACTTGTCTGGCTTAAGGCCTTTGCATGTAAAAATGCGTTAACCGTAACCATAATTTTAGTAGTTTCCAACACATACAATTAAATAAAGTAACGCATGTGAAATTCCGTAACCGTAACTTTAAGGCTCGTCTACAATAGCTGTAAGAGTAAGGCTGTAAGGCTGTAACGTAAGCTGTCAGCGAATGAAAATATTTCATTTCGTGCCTTGCAACCTTACAGCCTTACTTTTACAGCTAATGTAGACGAGCCTTAAGACGGAACTTTCACTTGCGTTACTCTATTTAATGTGTGTTAATATGTGTTGGAAACTAAAATTACGGTTACGGTTAACACTTTTTTACGTACAAAGGCCTTTACCGCCACGCATCTGCTCATCGGTAGTGAGATAAAGATAAAGCAATTGGTCATCTGTCCTTTTTTAATTTACTATCTTTGGACAGAAGTACAGTGAACAAGAACTGTATACACTTTGCCGTTGCCATCAGGATGGAAATAGTGTGCATGCATTTTCTCAGGAGGCGTGTCGGAAAAAGCGTTGAAAAGCGTCCCAGGGTAACCGGCCCAATGGCAGCTCTCAGGCTCCTCTCTGCGATTATTAGGGCCCTCATACATGAAATGACAAAGATGCATATGCATAACATAAGAGCTTATAGACCACAGCCGGTATTCATAGTCGGATCTTATATTTAAGATCGTCTTACGTTCATCTTCAGATGTTGTACAAATTATTTCATTGGCTACGGCATACCTGAAGGTGAACTTAAGACGGTTTTAAATATAAGACTCGACTATGAATATCGGCCTAAGTCGCTATATTGATTTACACAATAGCATTTAGATGCTATCTAAATATTCATTGGTCCATAAGCTCTTAAGTTTTGCGTATGCATCTATCATTTCATATATGAGAGCCTTTAACTAGAGATGTTTGCGCAATGACTACTAGATGGCACTATTTTATGTCTAAACTATTCTATCAAGAATTTGACTTTTAATTTCTCGATAGTACTCATTTAAACATGTATTATATATATATATTCTCTTTGAAAAGCGTATATTGAGGTACCCTCGAGTGACACCACGGAGCTTCAAACAGGGTCTTTTTAATGACTCCACGTGCTCTGAGGAAGGTCCCTGGACCCGTGGCAGAAAGTGCCGTAGCATAATGGCTACTAGCCTCGTACCGTTGTTCACGAATGAGAAAGGAAGCTTTTTTCAGAGCTGATCTTTCATGATGGCTGCGAGAGTGTTGGTCAAAGTAAAGCTATGTGTAGCGACGCTTTCCTTGCCTCCATTTGGAGACTAAGAGATTGCGTTGAACTGAACAGGGGCCTACCAGACGAGGAAACTTCTCTTTTGTCAATGATAGAAAAGTTACAATATTTATATTTCAACGAACTTCAAACTGCACGGTATCCAGTAAAAAAACATATCTTGGTAATTATGCATATTAACCATTTGCACTATAATTTAAATCGTAATAGCGCGTGCCAAAATCAGTGATAAAGTTGTATCTGTAAAGCCTATTCTATATTAATCGTAAGTCGTAAGTCGCAAGGTTGCGAGCAAATTGACCAATTACAGTCGATTATTTTTCAATCACTAAAAGAATAATCGACTGTGATTAGTCAATTTGATTGCAATCTTGCGACTTGCAACTAATGTAGAATGAACTTAATGTTCAGTCTACACAAATTGCAAGTCGCAAAACGCAAATCGCAGACGCAGAACATTGACCAAAACACAAAAATTGAACCACAAGTCTCACTTGTGTTTCCTATCCACACAGCACACTTTATCTCAGGGACGTCCGACAGACATCATTCTGGGATACTGCCATGGTGTAATCATGGTGTAAGAATATAAGGTGAACCATTCCCGTGGATGCATAGTAGCCACCAATCAGAAATTTGCCCCAAACTTTAAAACACCAATATGGCGATACATTGAAACAAGTGAGGTATTTTAGTTGAGTGTATTTTTTTCGGTGTTTTTTATTGTTTGCACGCAAGATCAGTGTATATATATAATTATAAGGTAAGTTGGATATTACCGAACTGAACAAATAAAGCATATGTTTAAAATAAAACAATTGTAAATGCTATGTCAACAGTACATTAATCTACTGCATATTTGGTTATGTTTACAGATACAATGCCATCGTGTTGTATAAAGAATTGCAAAAGTCGTACATTTTACACCGACAAAAAAAATATAACATTCTTTAGATTTCCAAAGGAAAAAGTGATATTAGAGAAATGGATAAATGCTTGTGGAAAGAGTGAAGACAACATAAAAATTAATTCTGGTGAGTTGATATCAGTGATACTTTCTATATAATATAACATAGCTAATTGATCTGTAAGGCAATATTCAATCAGTTTTTTGTCTCTTTTCTTTAACTGAACTGGCTGCACTAATGCATAAAATATACATACACATTGAAGCAAATAAAGTATACATACAAGATTTTTATATCTAAGTTTGCATAAATTTCTTGTACTAGTACAATTAATTCAGCTAACAAGAGAACAAACCACTTATGTTTGAGGATGTTTTAAATATAAGATCACAAACTATAAATATCAGTCATATTATATATGTCTTCTATTTAACAAATGTAATTGTATATCAATGATTTAGCAACTTTCATTAACTAGACACAAATTGTGATAGAGTAAGAAGATGCAGAGCAACCAATAACTGCAAATAAAATTTACTTTTTGTGATATGATTTTATCATAGGTATATTATAGGACTATATAGAGTATAATAAGAATATTGTATAATTGTAGGAAGGATATGCAATCTTCATTTTGAAGATGACTGTTTTGTAATGCGATAGACACAGCCAAAATCTACTAAAACATGTATGAAACAAATGAAACGACTCAAGGAGGGTTCTATTCCCACAAAAATGTTACTATTGGATAAAAGCAGGAAAAGAAGAAACAAAAAGGAACAATATCAGATAGTGATCATGTTTCTGTAATGACAGGAAAAATGTATGTATTTTGCCATTGTTAACAGTAATATGTACAGTCTTTCTTTATGTCATTGTGTTATATGCATTATATACCACTTTAAGTGTTATTTATAGTTTCTGAAATATTAAGATCAAATTATGAATATTGTTAAATGTAATACTTTTATTATTGTTAATTATTTAACAATGTAATTATTTGTCAGGTTAAACACCGAAACATCTAAACAGCAAATGGGCGAATTATCCACTTGTCTACAGATTGAACAATGTATCCAAGAAAATATATATAGTGAAGAAGATAATTTTGATAAACAGAACTCTCTTATATCATTGAACGACGTGCTAAGAGGAAATGAGTACGTATTTGTATTTTAAACTTACACAATAGAGTTAGTGCGTATGCTGAGTTTGGTTGTAATACTAAAGTATTATTTTGTAAGATAATGCGTGAAAATAATATATTTTTGTGTTTTATAGAAACCAAAGAAAAGTGGAAACTATGATGTATTTGAGATGTTATTGCAAAAGTTACGATGTTTTGAAAATGAAAATAAGAAACTTTTACAAGAGAACAAACAACTCAAGAAGAAAAATGAGCAATTAAACACACAAGTAGAACAACTGCAGACAAGTGTTATGCAAAATGCTTCTATGATACAGGTAATGGAAATAGATAAAAGGAAAGAAGCAAATAAAATAGTCATTAATACGTTGCGAAAGGTATTAACACTAGGACAGGTAAAAAGTATTATGTCACCGAATAATATTCGTAAAAAATGGTTATCCGAGGATATATCTGCAATTGCTCTAAGATCATTGAGTCCAAAAGCGTACAGATATCTAAGGAATATTAAAAAAATGCCATTGCCGTGTGAATCACCATTACAAAATTGGGTGGCATCGTTCAGTATTTCACCTGGCATTTTAAAAGACGTGTTAAGAATTATGCATGATAAAGGATACAATCTCTCTACAGTGGAAAAATTAACCATTTTGAGCTTCGACGAATTGTATGTATCTAATAAATTGGATTTAGAAAGAAAAGAACAAAAAGTGTATGGGCTTCACAAAACTTGTCAGTTTGTTATGGCTCGAGGATTATTTAACACTTGGAAACAACCCATTTATTACAATTTTGATGAATCTATGAAATGTCTCGCAACATTTTATTTACTTTAACGCAAGATCTGTATTTGGCTAATTATGTTGTAGCTATTGTATGTGATATGGGACCGACAAATTTAAAATTATGGAGAGAATTTAATATTGGAATCAATACTAATAATCATCCCAACGACATAAAATGAAAAGCAATATTTCGTTATACATCCCGTAGACAAGTCATCAAAAATATTCTTTTATGCTGACGCCCCTCATTTACTAAAATCAGCAAGGAACAACCTATTTGATTCTGGGTTTTGGTGGAAAGATAATCTCGTGGATGCAAGGTGTCTAGAAGAATTATTAAAACTTAATACAGGCGATTTAAAAATTGTCCATAAATTAAGTAGAACACACCTTGATGCTAAAGGGACACAATGTCAAAAAGTAAAATTAGCAGTTCAAGTATTCTCCAATACAAATGCATTGGCTATTCGATGGTGTAAAGCAAATGGTCTTTTGCATTCTGATAACTGGGAACAAACCGCTTATGTATTAAAATTATTTAACGACTGGTTCGATGTATTTAATAGCACATTACAATATGGTCATCACAGTGGCTTGCACGCTTATAATATAAATATTGAGGAACAAAATAAAATAATTAATGAAATGGATATATTTATAAAAGAAATGTGAGTTGGAAAAAAACGAGCTTTATTGCAATTCCAAAAAGGAATTGCAATATGCAATACATCCTTACGAGAAATGTTTATACATATTCAAAATAAGTATTCGTCCGAAGAGTTTGAAATAAAATATATATACTCACTAGACGATTAAACCAAGACGTTCTTGAAAATTTTTTCGCATATCAGATCCATGGGTGCAGCATACAATCATCCGACGCCAGTCGAAATACAACATCGTTTAAAGTGGTATATCTTTAGGAAGCATTCCGGACATGTCATTTCATCACAGGAAAATACGGAAAGGGATTCTAACTCTTCAATGCTCATTGATATGGAAGACATACATTCGTCGGATAATCATGATACAAATTCTCTATAGATTATGTTAGAAAATGAAAGTATGATGGAAAATTATATATTAATAGGTTCAACATTAACACACAAAATATGAACACTAATGAACAAAGAGAAGAAAGAGAAGAAAATTCTATGGAAACAGAAAGTGGAGAAGGTATGAAATATTGAACGGTTTCCGTAATTATAATTATTATGTGTACAACTTTATTTTTAATCATGATACCGTTAATATTCTTGAGAAATATTATTTCTTTACTATTTATTGCAGCAACATAGCAGTCCCAGATAGCACAAAATCTTCAGAGAATATTCTTAGAATGTTCTTAGGATGTATGAATGTGCTTATAACGTTCTTAGAACGTCCTTTGAAGATTTGTGCTGTCTGGGGTACAATATATAATATGATCAACATAGAAATATTTTAATTTTTCATGTTTCTAGTGTGTAATTTAAGTACGTATGAACCTAACAAGGATGAAGCTAATTTATTGTATGACCTCGAACGAATAGATGCTGAAGACATGATTGAACGAAATGCCCTATTATATATTGCCGGCTATGTTGCACATAGATATAGAACTAAATTTACAGAGTTAGGGTGTTCTACAAAAACTCTTCCAAATGCACAATCTAATTTTTGGGTTTCCTTTATATCCAGGGGAAATTGTATTTATCCTTCAGAAGATTTTCAAGAAGCCTCTAATATTATGGAACGAGAATTTAAATTATTTCATAGCGATACTTTTAATAAAGAAGCATTTATTTTTAACAGATTAACGGACATTATATGTAACAAAACCAATAACAATTTTGCAAGAGAAGTTGTTGCTTGTTTAGTGCATACTAGGACATATATTCGTTTACGCAAAATAAATAAAGAAATTACAAACAAAAATATTCTAAGAAAAAATAGAAAATTATATGAAATATGTAATAAACAATAAATAAATGACATATTTATTAATAAAAAAAACTCGATATATATTGTAATTTTGTAACGTCTTTATACACCTTACTCTTATCTTTCCCTACGTAACTTCTCTTATGGTATTCCAATTATTACTAACAGCTACAATTTTTATATAATATGTAAAAATGCTTCTTCCTATAACATAGAATATAATATAGTACATTTATCTTATATGTTTAAAATATATTTTGCATTTTACAACATAGCGTAATATCTATTACTCAATATAGATAATCACTTATCATTATTTTATACTTATATTACAAGTTTCCATTAGTTATTACGTTTTTATATATTAATTTTATTACATATGTATATATAATTACATACATATATATAATTTTATATATTTCCATTTATCTATAATACTATTCAATATACATTTTCATTAAAACTGTGTTTAAATTCAGCGCTACTTTTGGGGCAAATTTCTGATTGGTTCTTGCTACATTCAACCGCCATTATGCGCAATGGTTCACCTTATATTCTTAGGGCAAGAGCACAGGCTTTTGCATAACGCATAAGAGAATCAATCAATTAGTTTTCTTCATTTCCCTCCTCAGGACAGAAATGAAGAACTCTGATTGGTTGATTCTCTTATGCGTTGTATATTATGCGTTATGCAGAAGTCTGTGCTCTGGCCCTTACACCATGGGTGTAATAAGAAAGGTGGACCATTACGCATAATGGCGGTTGATACTATGGAACAGCCAATCAAATTTTGCCTACAAATGTTGCGCGAGATTCAAACGCAGTACTTGTAAGACCGAACTATGGATATTCTGTTCTGAAACACGTAATATCGTAATGATAGCAAATAAAAATAAATAATATAAAAATATATATGAAGATTAATATAATAAAAATAATTATAAAATACAATAAATGCAAATTGTACATAACATGTATTATTTTATTTGTGTAAATACATTTTCTTTGTTGTCTAATTTATTAATTTTGTTCGCTTTTTCTTTAATGTGTTATTTAGAACAATATTTCTATTTATTTCTCGTAAACGTATGTATGTTCTAATACGCACCGGACACGCAACCACTTCTTTAGGAATAGAATAATTACTTTTTAAACAAACAATGTTTGTTAATGTATTACAAATTTTGTTTTGTGTAGAAAAGGAAGTATCATGAAATTTTATAAATTTTGCGTTTATAATTTTAGATATTACCATATGTTTCTTCGCATTTACAATACACATGCAATACGTATACTCTTTGGAAATATGCGCCTTAATTCAATTCATTGATATCAAAATGGCGGCTTCCGACTTATCTGCCACAATCTCCCTTAACCCTCTCTAAAGCCAGCAGCATACGGTGCTTGTTTTCGTGCTGGATTGCTTGCTGGATGAAAATACTGCGTTCTGATTGGTACATTTCCGAAGATGGATGAAAATGTACCAATCAGACCGCAGTATTTTCATCCAACAAGCAATCCAGCACAAAAACAAGCACCGTGTGCCGCTGGCTTAAGGCCTGACTACGGGTATTAGGTCCCATAGTAACCGGCCCAATGGTCGTTCTCAAGCTCCTCTTTGGTATCAGGTTGCACTATAGATGGCGCTAAAAACTATCACTAATTTTCAGAGAAGGAAATTTGTGCATCCTAATCCTTTAGGTTGACTGCTTCGTCTTTCTCATTTTTCATATCTTTCTCACTCATATGCTTCGTCCGATTATCTTTCCCGTTCATGCCGTTCATGCATTCAACATGTTGATGTAATCGTTTATGTATACGCCGTTGAGTCCGATTCGGTTAGATTTGCCTATGCACAATTGATACGAGTGATCGTTCATTACCATCTACGCGTAGTGCTAATTTTGAAAGGCAGGAATTAATAAAGTCAAAAGCAATATGGTAAGTCGTACATATTGTAAATATGGTATGTCGCAAATCGTGGAATATGGAAGTCATGGGTGATTGTTGTCGCTTGCAGATGCAATTCATGTTACTGTTCAGCCGTCAAGGCAAGCTTCGGTTACAAAAATGGTATGTCGCTCATCCGGATAAATTGAAAAAGAAAATCACACGTGAATTGATAACTACGATACTCGCACGTAAGCCAAAGATGTCGAGTTTCTTAGAATGGAAGGATGTCAAAGTCGTTTACAAGAGGTACATCATTAGATCTATTTTTTTCTTAGCCAAAGTAGTTAATACATTTTGTAGTTACAGTGCAAAAAGTATATAATCCTACAAAAAGAAGTTAAAAAGAAATAGGACAAGATTCCAGAGTGAATATTAGTTCAGTTAAAAACAATAAGTCTATTGAAACACGCAGTATACCTTAATTTCTAACTTCTCTTATTATATAATATGGCTGTAAAAAGTTTTCGTTAGTTTGTTTATAAAATTCTATGTTTATGCTTACAGATATGCAAGTTTATATTTTTGTTGTGCAATTGAACAAAATGACAATGAATTACTCACTTTGGAAATTATACATCGATATGTTGAATTATTGGATAAGTATTTCGGCAGTGTAAGTATAATTTAAATTTGTAAGTTGAGGAATGCAGTCTTGCTTTTCAACTGATTGCAATAATGATAATGTTAGGTATGCGAATTGGATATAATTTTCAACTTTGAGAAGGCATACTTTATCTTGGATGAATTACTTGTTGGTGGTGAGATTCAAGAAACTAGCAAAAAAAATGTTTTGAAAGCCATTGCTGCTCAGGATTTGTTACAGGAGGTTAGTTACGGGGATGTACCCCTTGAATTGTAACATGTTTTGCCTTACTAGCATAGTATTTGGACAGATGTCTTTTTAGATTCTTTTTACAGCCAGATTTTTAGATCGTTTTATTTCTCTACTAACTGCATTTAATGCATTAAGGACTCTTTTAGTAAACTGATATACAGATAGTACAAATGAAAACTTATGCCCTTAAAATTGTATAATATTTAATTGATATTTACCAATATAGTAAAACGACCTATAATCTATTGCTAATTCTTGATATCCATGCATTGTTTTCATGAAACAATCATGATACTGCAAGATTCAAGCAAATATAAATCTATTTGAACTAGGTGAGAGATTGATGGTTGAGTTTTCTTATACATTTCTTATACATATATTTTTAATTTTCTGCAACAATAGCTAAATATATTTTGTTATTTTTATGGAAATAAACAGGTAAGATATCAGAAACCTAACCAGTATTGAAACAATTCCTTTTGATGTACAGTTAAAAGATATAAAAACTTTTATTGATATTTATTTATTTAACACCTAGTAATGATAGATTTGTAAAGAAATATAAATATTTATGTGATATGCATGAAAACAATTATAGATATTAATAATTGCTTGTATAAAACAATGTAAGTTCCCTACTTGCTTTCATGTTGCCTCTCTTGCATAATAATCATAATTATGTACATAAGATGTATCCATCTATAATTATTCTATCTGTAGCTACATCAGCTTCTGTTGAGAAATTTTGTATTTTACTGATTTGATATTGCACGGTATGATGGACAATATTTTATGTTCACTTTGTATATATATATACACACACACACATATATATATATATATATGTTGTATGTGTGTGTGTATATGTGTACACACATATAGAAAATTTTGCCTGTATATAAAATATTGATTGCTGAACATTATATTCACAAATAATTACATGTGCTATTTTACGTATGACAATACGTAACTTTATTAATTAATTATTAAACGTTATTATTTAATAGAAAATTGATATTCTTTTATATTTTATCTCTTATTATCCTTCATTTCAGTTATCTTACAAAGATTACTATAGATATAGGGGCATTATTTTCGAAATTAGTAACTTACATCGTATTTTTTTCTATTTTCTCTTATTCTGTTGAGTACTTTTCTCTGAAACTTAACATGCAATTATCCTATATCTATTTTTTGTTAAGCATGACTATACAACATACTATCTGTAACGTAACATCAATGTTCACAATGGAAGATTGTAATAAGTTTAAATGTTAAATGTTGAATGTTTCTATAGACAATCGTGCGTGCATATACGCTTCTCATTTAATCCTTAAGCAAGCTTGTATAATATGTTTCACTGTTAACGTCTCTATTTCTCGCAACACTAAATATTTATGCAACAGCACCTGTAAATTGTTTGATAATAATATTGTAGCGTGACTTATATGACGAAATAAATAGCAATTTTCGAGGTTTTTGCACATTGATAAACATTTTGATAAATATCCAAATTGTGGTAATCCTATATCAATTTTCGAGCTTTCATATGTAACTATGCAGGTATATACATACTAGTCGTAATTTAAATATGAAAAAATATGCATGTCTTTATTATTTGTTGAAAGGCGTCCTCGCAAACAATATGCGTGAATTCAAAGTATTTTATATAATATACATAAAATATATAATTTGCGATTATTTTTGTTTGCTTGATAAAGTGATGTTACTGAATCTTGATTCTGTAAATATTCAAGGTGTCCGACACAACGCGCATGTCCACTCGTGTGCAGGTAGAACTCATCACATTGAATGGTAAAGTTCTGTATCATTTTACAAATAAACGCGATAAATAGTGAGATAATAATTAAAAAAAAATAGCGAATCAATGTGCGTCATATAGACGCGAGCAAAAGATTGTTGAGAAATTCAGATATTTCAAATAAAACTTTGTCAAAATAAAATAATTCATCTTATCATATGACATGCATAATTCGCTAATTTTTTTAAATATTTCCCTAATTATGGTTGCTCCGTAAAATAATACAGAACGTTCCATATGATAAGTTCTATAGATAAGCAAACATACTCAGATTCTTTGTATAATATAAGAGATGCTTTTCTTTATACATTTGCTCAGATAATAATTGATTTAAAACTTCTCTTGCATATAGATTTTATATAAAATAAACTATTGCGGAGTGTTATAGATAGAGCAAAATTTATTTGTTAATTCTGAATTGGTACAACAGTTAATCATGGCTGAAATTTTGCAATAATCAAAATGAACGTATTCGAAATTTATAAATAGATTATAGTATTAGAGAGAATAAGTGTGAGAAGAAATATATCTTGTATAGTTTATCTAACGTTTGAAGTTTCTCAAGCGTAAGCATTGTATACTGTATATTAATAAGGATGTGTTGTTTTCAAGATTACCTATAATATGCCATTTAAATAATTTAATAGTAGTACGGGGAAAGTATATATATACACATATATACATCTTACTTATTCTAGTCTACTGATAGCTTTTTCCCGAACTGGTGTTTTGTTAATATCTGAAGATTTTGCTAAGCATTGCTAGATTTGTTTTGTTCTTATATTTAAATGGATAAAATGTAGCAAAAAATATTGTGCTGTTAACAATTTTTATTGCACCTAGATTATCTCAGATTGGGAAATATTTAGCTAAATGGAAGATATTAAATAAGAAGAATACTCTACATTTATATTAATATTTATCGACGGTATATGAAAATATTTGGAAAGTTTAGTACAATCTCATAGCACACACATAACTATTTCTGATATTTTTTTTTTTCAACATCATTAACGTAGGAAATAATAGTGTCCAGTATGACGATCATAATATTGCGCATAATAGTTGATTTTATTTTGCATATTTCGAATACCTTAACTACGTTCCTCTCCATTATCCATCCATTTATACAGTTAGAATTCGAAGCAAACTATGTGCATGCGATATTGACAAAATGACAAGACATTCTAAAAGCGAATGGAAAATGTTACTAATAATTAGATCGCGGATTTGCTCAACCGATACGTTCGGGTGTCAGTAATCGCAATACGCGATAAACGTGAAAAGAAGGAAAAGGTACTTGTACTTTTATTCATATTATTTTGATTATTCTTGCCATACTAATACATTTATGAACGACAATAATGTTCCCAAAGAAAATCCAATTACAGCATTGATATAAATAGCTTTCTTTTGTTTTCTTCAATTTTCAAGACGTCTGATTTTAAATCGCAATGCCTTGTATATATTCCCCCCAGGGGCTCGATTACTGATGGCGTGCGAGTGAGATGCATATGCGAAAATGTACAGATCACGTTACATATAATATAGATTTTCGCATGCGTATCTCATTCGCACGCCGTCAGGAATCGAGCCCCAGCTGCCATTTTCACCTGGACCTTCTCATTCAAATTATCAGTGTAATAACAGATAATGAATAATAAAGACCTGTACGGTGGAGACAACCAAAGCACCAAATAGTGAATAAACACGAATGTGTAAAAGAGAAAGATTAATATAACGGCTCTCATTACAAATTCAGCAACTTAGGTACGCTAATCCGCGATCTGCTGTTAATTGCCATATGACTGTATGTCCGTCGAATTTGTACAAAAGAAGCATGGCACCAATGCAATGACTTATGCACTTGTACTTTCTCTAATAATAATAATAAGAATGGTATTAACATATATATATATATTGCCATATTAATAGTTTAAATTTAGTATCCAGGTCTCTATAGATTAATCGATTATTCCTTAGATTATAATCATGTGGTTGTGTGCTCCGCCACTAAACTAGAATAAATGAGAAGTGTATTATTATGTTTATAAGTAGAGAGTGTGTTGATATGTATATGTATATATCTCCAGAATTTAATAAATATTTTTCAACAATTGTATTTATTTTGTAACATTTGTGTTTCATGTTTCTGTTTTCCGGATATGTGACGATTCTATTATTCTCCATAACGATATCGAGTTCCATAAAAATTTCTCGTAGTTTTATAGTATGATATCAGCAGGGCTTAGAAGTTAGTGCATCTCTTATGATTGGCCTTTGTAAGACCATCCAGCCATATGTGCTGAACGAAATACATTCGACTATTCTGTCATGACTAATAACATACATATTATTTATTATAATAAAATGTAGATATATCGTGTTATTTATTATAATAAAATGTAGCGAGTCTGGGTGAGATGGTAACTTCTGAGTCTTTGTGTTATTAGCTTTTTTATACAATCTGTGCACGTATGTGTACGCGTGAATGTGTGTGTGATGTGTGTGTGTGTAAGAGAGGCATTTCAGACGTGAAAAATGTTCATTTTGGGAATATCGATTGTAGAAGCAAATTTTGAAAACCATTTGATATATCAAGTGCTTAGATAAATATTGAAGTTTTAAAATTAATGATCGGTTGAGGTTTACATACTTTGTTTTCTTAAGTTTAAGGTCTGGAGATACCTCTCTATTACGTTGCAAATGCCTCGTCCTGTGTGTGTATTTGATGAAATATGTAGATTCTATATTTTATTAAAAATCTGCAATCGATTATATTTATATATATCTTGAGAAATTTACTTTCTTTGCATAATTTTTTGAAGAAACTGAAACGAAATATCATGAATTACAAAGATGAAACACGTAAATGCTATAATGTCGTAACAGATTATATGCTAAATATTACTTTTATTATGACAATAACAATGCTCTCCGTAACTTTAGAGAGACTTTGTGATCATATTTTAATACGTATCATATTTTAATAATAAGTTTTGAGAAAATACTGTTGGAATCTATTGTGCTAATGTGTGTGAAGAGTTGATATGTTGTTTGTTTGACATTTGAAATGTTTATAACACTACAACGTACTATGTATATTAAATCCACGGTAGATACGGATACGGAAATAGAAGTTTAGCGAAGACTAGTTAGATTTTCTTTGTTTGTTGTGTAAGGATGAAGCTGTGGAAGGTGCTCTGCGGGAGATAGGGCTTTTATAGGTACTTCGTACTTTGCATGAGCTTCACGGACAAAATATCGACCCATACGATCGGCTGAAAAACCAGAAAAGGCTTTCCCACTGCATGATGCCAAAACAAAAAGTTACGGCTCCACTGTGTTATATAAATTTTCAAGTCAACTCTACTAATCGTACACAGAACGTTCCAGGCATCATGCATTTTTTCTTTCGACTAAAAGTCTCCTGACAAATTCGATAATTTACCATGATGAAAATTCACAGATGACTAGATAAGCTTCTTACAAAAGGAGAAAATGAATAAAAAAAGGAAGAACGAAAAAACACGATGCCTAAAACATTCTATGTATAACAACATATTTTTATATCAAGAGGATAATCTTCTATGTATCGAACAAAATGTTATGTTACTAACCAAAGGCTGAAATCTTAATTATAACGTACGTACTACTATGGAAACGACGTTATGCGCCATACATTAATCTTCAACTTTGGCAATAAAACTGTCTGTATCAATAAGTTATTTTTATGAGAAGATTGTATATGTGCTGTATTTTGAAGAGCGTCAGTATTAATGCGACTACATATAATAGAAGATATATACACACGTGTGTGTGCACACACGCATATATATATATATATATATACACACATCTATCTCTATTTACTTAAAAACATTACTTTAATTAGCAATTCAAAAATTTACCTTTATACACATTACACACACACACACACACACACACACATACACACGCACGCGTATACATATATGTATATGTTATACATAAGTAGCAATGTCAATTTTTAATGTCATATATCGATATGCTAAGTGTACTAGTAATAAATATATAGAATATAATCTTTAGTGTACTTGAAAATGAACGCGCACATAATACACCTTTTTCTGTCATCAGCCTACTAATCAAATTCAAACACAAATCCCAGGTAAAAGTAGCACTCCAGTGCATCTCAAATTTGTTAAAAGTTGATTGTTTACTGGGTTATTTAATGGTAACCGTGCGAAATCCATAAAAATCTATAAGCTTTCGTTAGCTCTGTAAGCTAGATATTTTCTTTATATATATGCGTCCTGAATTTCTCTACGAATTGCATTCATTTCCCCCATCACATCACGAGGATACTCCACAATCATGTTGCATGTAAAAATAAGCAATTTTTGCTGTCGCTTGAGATTTAAGTCAAAACAATCAAAATAAATATGCGCTTGTTCTATTACCCATACACAAGTATAAAGGTACTTGCTTATATGAAAAGGGTTCAGTTCACCATTTGAAGCTGCTTCAAGAAGAGAATTTATTATAAAGTAGGTACGTGTATATATACGTTTATATATATGTGTATATATATATATATATAATATTTTAATTTTTCTTTTTTGTAAAACAACTTTTATAAAGTGCAGCGTCAAAGTAATTGATCCCTGTTCATATTATTGTAAGATGCTTTGGGTGTAACGCCGATAAACTTGTTCTTCTTCGTGTTTGTTGCAGGAAGAAACTCCTCAGGGATTTTTCGAAGATCACGGACTGGGATAATATTTTTTAAGACGTATATAATTAATCGTAAGTGTACATTCCTGCACTTTTATTCTACTGCTCTACGTTGACGCAACTTGTCTTGTTGTTTTGACTCGAAGAACAAGATAAATATATGTATGTACGTTTTCGATGCAGGTATATTCGCATTTGTCAAATTTATATTATCTTTATATATTATTATTATACAGTCCAGAATTTATATTATCTTTATATATTATATTATTATATAGTCCAGAAACACAGACACATATATAAATCATTCCATATTTTTTGAGGCTACATATCTCTTTGACTTTGATACATTTCATGTGTTTTTTTACATATTACTCCTATTAGCCACTTTATTAGCCATTTATTGATTTGCATCAATAAATGATAGAATGACACAACTAAGCATGTTCTAATGTAGCAAATAAGCAAATTTGTTATCCAACTATTTTCTATTTTCGTGTCTCTCAAAAAAAGAACAAAAAAAAAGAAAACACCTGTCTTAAGTAGCAAAATATACAATTTGAGAATTTGTTTTTTATTGAGTAAGAGAAGAAAATGTAAGAACAAAATATTTTAGAATTATCAACGCGATAATGTAAAAATTCTATGCTTTTTTGACATATCATATAAAATAGATAAGTAAGTTTTCGTTTAAGGCTCTTATATATCTCTTATGCTTCTCTTGATTTTACCAACGTTGTTTTTACGAAAGAAAGTAATAGCGGAAATTTTGTACTTATATAATAATATGAGACGTTATAGTTAGGTGAAGTGAAGTTACATATAAGCTATTCGAATCAGGTTTAAAACTTTGTTTATACACAATCACTTGTTACGCGAGATGTGATGTATTGTTAATTAAATATCATATATTCTGTATTACATAATATATCATTAATGAAATTCCGGGTATTTCTCTGAACCTACATATGTAGATACGCTACAATGCTGTAATAGTGTGTTCTACAATAAGATAAATGTCGTCCCATTTTTAATTAATGTTAAAGAGCAAAGTGGGATATAATCTGTAGTACTATCTATACCAACGGAGGCAAGCTCTGTTGGAATGTATTGAGAGATATACGGACTGCGTACTGGAGAAAGATGGGAATCAATAGCTGACATTTAACGGTATATTCGAGGCAATTTATTAGTAAATATCAAAGTACGTAACGTTCTTATTATTGTCGATAATGTTATTATTGCATACGCGATGTTTTGTACTTTCTGTATGTTATTTACGAAATATTTTATCATTTTGGTATTTACATTCTCTCTATCTCTTCATTATGTATGATTATATCTTTATTATACCTTGCATATGCACGCGCCCACACAAGTTATACGAAGCTCGTTAAATTCATTTTCCTGGCAATAATTTGTTGAAAAGTCAAGTACAATAATGCGTATTCCCATTGTAGAATCATATCGTATTTTTGTGAAGCTTGAAACGTGCATACATGTGGCGTAGCGGAGGGACAAAGGTTATCAATTTTCCAATATCCAATTGTTGAAATCGAGATATTTTTTAACGTAAATCGTTGTCGTTGAATTGTGCGATTGAAATATATACAATTTGTATTGGAAATCTCAATTTCTACGCTCACAAGATACTCGCCGTATCAAAGATCAGACAATAAGTTAAGTATGTACTAAAATAATCGCTTGTAGCATTTACATGTGTCACGACACGCGCGTAACATATATTATACTAACATATAACATACACATATCCGATTTTCAATCTTATGTGTTTACGAACAGTATTTCTGTCTCGCTATCATGTAGATTGAAAATTGACAAAAACTCGAGGAGGGAGATGTTATAGTATTAAACAATATAAAAAAAAAGCTTTACAGTATATCCCTCTGTCTTTTTATATAACTTTATTAAAATTTGTTAGACACACACACACACACACACATATACACACACACACACACACACACATACACACATGTGAATATCGATATTTGAATAATATTAGACTACGTTAACGTACTTAAGATCGTTTTACGTTTCAAGGCTCCTTATCTTATTTTTCGCGTTTTCTCCTTTTCTTCTTACAACCAGCAACACTTAACATCACAACCTACATTTAACACATTTTGTACTCTATTAAAATTACGTAAGCGAAATGTTATACTTATTTGCATTAAGCTTACGGATCAACGTTTAGCATTAGTATATATATATATATTTTTTTTTTCCCGGAAATGAATCAAAAGTAGTTGTTAAGTTATCTTCACTTTGCTATTCCCGCCGTATTGGTATTCGACAAAAGGATAGAACAGACCATAAGACTATAAATAAGACGTTAAGAACATGAAATATGTATTATATATTAAGACCAAATGTTGCATTGACAAAAGACGATGCTTTGTGCTCCGTCCAAGATGAATAAAATGTATTAAAGGAAAAAAAAACATCTCGCATGTAATTATGTTTTTCATGTTTGTGCACCTTGTGATGTGTGTTTGACCTATCTTCAGTGCATCTTTGATTGCGAGGCGACTCCTGGAACTTCGATTAATGTAATCGATAATTAACTTTGATGAAATGCCAACAGTAATTTTTAATCACCTTTCGTCTAATAATAATCAAAAGAAATAATTCCACGCGTATTAATAAAATGGAGCATAGTTGTGATTAAGGTGAGTAGATGGTAGATATGAAAATTAGAAAATCCAAGTGGACTTTAAAAAGAAGTGGAAATGCAGTTTGTAAAAATATATTTTTTGAAAAATAATAATAAGCTAGACATTTTTAGTGTTAGCTACGTCTTGTAACTCTAGTTACAATACTCGACTGAGCAATTTTAAATATAGTTTGCAAAAAGGGAAAACGAGAATTTCTTGTTCGTTCCAAACCAAGAAGAAATCGTTTTCGACGTCCCACATTAATTCTGTCAACTGAGTCAATCATCGATTAGCTTGATCAAGGTTTAGAGCAAGCCGTCCTGCATATTGAATTCAAAACCTAACAGAGGCGATATTGATTACGGTCAGCCTGCACATTCTACATCATCACCGCTCACGATGATCGCTGTATACGTATGAACACACATACACACACATACACACGCACGCACACACACACACACACACACAATTAGGGTAAGTCCGGGATAGATGAACGTAATTTTTTTAATTGGAAATAACTCATCCGTATTAATGCAATAAATGCTCAACAACATATTAATACATTTAGTAGAGATTAATGTTGAAGGTACAGCAGAATTTTTGTAAAAAAAAATTCATGAGACGCCAAAAATAACGAAATATTAAAAATATTCTGTGAGAGATAGATGATCAAGTTTCCAGGTTAGATGGTCATATGTCAAGGGATAGTTGGACATACGTCATCTCGATAATGAATTTTTAGGTTAAATACAATGTTTTTTAGTCGTTTAAACCTAAGTCTAATGTTATAACTCAAAATAAACCGTATTCGCAAGGTATTATTCCAACGTGTAAAACATTTAATAGGAGGTTAATAGAAACATAAAACATTTATTTACTCATAATAACAGTGTTTCTGTGTATGAAGAAGAAACACACCTATCCATGGTACACTCAGAGGCAGGTATGGTGTCCCTCGGCGATGTCGTATACGCCTGTAAAACAATCGAAAGCCATGACAGGCATATACGCATATGCATATGGGCGTACTGTACAGCGCGAGAGAAGCGAAGAGGGAGAAGTGGTGGGAGACGTTCCGATGTTGCACCCTTATCGCACGTCGCACGAACGAGAGAGAAAGCATTACCAGACATGGTACGGTTAATGGTGTCCCCAATAACTGTCTCACTCTCTCTACGCTTGAATGCAGGCAATATGAGTGAGACAGCTATAGAGACACCGCGCTGTCTCTATAGGTGTCTCGCTCGCTCTAATAGCCATATATCGCGCTTTCCTCTTTTCTTAGCAGAAATGCCGATCAAGGAGGCAATCCTGTCTATAGGCCAGAAAAATAAGCTATTTTCGCGAATTTTTTTTTTCGAAAACTAAGCAGACGATTGATTTCAAACTTGATAAAAATAATAATATATATTTTATTGATGAGAATGAATTTTTATAGCGTTATATAAATAATAATGTAGCAAATATACAAAAAATAACGTGACGTGTTTAGGCGCGCGCCGTTTCACGGTTCCTATAAAATTTCGAAATACGGTAGACTGGGACAAAAAGGCAAGTAAAATAATTAATCTACGAACTTGCCGCTAACTCGTTTGAATTAAGGAAATAAAAAACGAACTACTTTTTTAATATTTTAAGGCATTTAAAAATTATATTTGAAAAATCGTCATAAATATCGATGATTTTACGTTAAGAATATTTTATTTGCAAGAAAACGATATTTCATGAAATTTACGAAAAAACTTATTTTATGCCGTAAGATATGTCAAATTGTGCAATTCTTTTTAGACGCAACATATCTTTACTTTTGAAAAGACTACGAGAAGGAGGGAGAATAAATGCAACATCTTCCTTAAAATGCTACTTAAATTATAGGTTCCGCTCTTGAAAATATAAAAAAAATTAGGAGACATTTAATAATAATAAAAATTACAATAATAATAACGAGACGCTATATAGCATTTCCTGAAATCAGAGAAAAAACTTTTTTTTATATAAAAAAGTCGATCGGTCGACTTCAGCATCTAATTACATATTCGAAACATGTCTATGTATCGTGTGAACTAGCGAAATAAAAAAATATTAATTTTTTATATGCACCGCGCTATCTCTATAGGTGTCTCATTCGCTGTAATAGCCAATGCCATTTATGCTCGCAATTTGACATATCTTACGGCATAAAAAATGTATCACGCTTTTCTATTTTATAACGCCATAAAAATTCATTCTCATCAATAAAATATATATTATTATTTTTATCAAGTTTGAAATCAATCGTCTGCTTAGCTTCCGAAAAAAAAAAATTCGCGAAAATAGCTTATTTTTCTGGTCTACAGACAGAATTGCCTCCTTAATCGGCATTTCTGCTAAGAAAAGAGGAAAGCGCGATATATGGCTATTAGAGCGAGCGAGACACCTATAGCGCGGTGTCTCTATAGCTGTCTCACTCATATTGCCTGCATTCAAGCGTAGAGAGAGTGAGACAACTATTGGGGACACCATTAACCGTACCACGTCTGGTAATGCTTTCTCTTTCGATCGTGTGACGTGCGATAAGGATGCAACATCGGAACGTCTCCCACCACTTCTCCTTCTTCGCTTCTCTCGCGCTGTACAGTACGCCCATATGCGTATGCGTATATGCCTGTCATCGGTTTCGATTGTTTTACAGGCGTTTTACAGGCGTATACGACAACATCGTATTTTCATAGGGTCGAGGGACACCATACCTGCCTCCAACTCCGATTGACCGATCGGTGTTGACAAATTTGACATTTAATGTTAGGTACCAGGGAAAAATGACAGTCGAATATATATATATATAGAAAATGTCGATCCAATATCCATTGCTTGCTATTTCTCGCTAAGGCTGCCCCCATCTAAAAAAATGCTCTGTCCATCTAAAAAAATGCTGTCCTGAAAAAAATATACCATCTATCCCCTTTTGGAGAGTTCGCGTAAAAATGCATATACCGCGTGAAACGTAGTCTCGGTGACGAATTTCGAGATTAAATATGAAAATACGATGTTTTTTAGTCGTTTAAGCTCAGGTCTAATATTGTAACTTATAATCAACCGTACTATCAACAACTCAAATAAACCGTATCCGCAAGGTATTTTTCCGACGTGCGGAACATTTTGGAGGTTAATAGAAACATAAAACGTTTATTTACATTTATTTACTTACAATAGTAGTGTTTCTAGGCATCAGGATGGAACACACTCGTGGTACATCCAACTCACAACTGACCAGCGCTGCCGCCTAGCATATATTGGGTGAGTGCAAAAGTTCGTGCGGAGTTTGTGAGTAAAAGTCACACAGTGATTAGGCAAACAAAAATTTTTATTCAATCAATGATATATTCTCCATCGTTTTCTATAATCTTTTCCCAACGTTCTGGCAGCATACGGATGCCTCGATCATAAAAACTGCGCGGTTTAGATTCGAAGAACGAAGAGACGTCGTTTTTTAAGGCCTCCAAAGAGTCAAAGTTTTTTCCATTTAAATAATTTTGCAATGACCGGAACAAGTGATAGTCAGATGGTGCGATATCAGGAGAATACGGTGGATGCGTTAAGACATCCCATTTCAGGCTTTTCAGTTTGCGCAGCGTCTTTTTCGAAACGTGTGGTCTGGCGTTGTCGTGATGAAAGACGACTCCCTTGCGATTTGATAAAATCGGACGTTTCTCTTTTATTTCTCGATTCAGATTGGTTAATTGGCGACAGTACTTGTCCGAATCAATCGTTTCGCCAGCGGGGAGAAGCTCGAAATAGATTATGCCCTTGCAATCCCACCAAACAGAGAGCATCACCTTCATCGGGTGCAAACTGGCCTTTGGCGTTGCGTCACCATGCTCACCTGATTGTTTCCATGTCCGTTTGCGCTGAACATTGTTGTAGAGGACCCATTTCTCATCGCCCGTCACTAGTCGATCCAAAAACGACTCGTTATTGAGTCGCCCGAGTAAAGAAACGGCTGCAGAAATTCGCTTGATTTTGTTCTTCTCGGTCAGCAAATGGGGCACTCATATATCGAGCTTCAAATCGAATCCCATCTTTTTTAAACGCCGAAAAGCGGTTGATCGGTCAACGTTTAGTGCTGTAGCAACTTCTTCTGTTGAAATTCGCGGATTATTGAGCACTAAAGTACGCAAAACATCGTCATCAATGTCAGAAGGTCGACCAGAGCGTGGCTCGTCTTCAAGGTTAAATTCTCCGCGCCGAAATTTAGCAAACCATTTTTCCACAGTTCGTTTAGCTGGTGCTTCATCCTGAATGTTTTTTACGGCTGCGGCAACGTTTATTCCCTTTCGAAACTCGTAAAGCATAACATGCCGTAAATGCATCTTATCGATACTCATTTTTAAAGTGATATTTCTCGAAGCAGTTTATATGAAAACAAATGATTTTTTTTTTAATAACAGCTGAAGACGTCACCTTTCCAACGTTATATAATATGTAGATGGAAGTATTAATGACAACACTTTACGACGCTTATAACTCCATCTATTGAAACTCCGCACGAACTTTTGCACTCACCCAATATTAACAAATTTATAGCAATTGACCATCTATCCCCTATGCCCATCTATCCCGGACTTACCCTAACCTCGTAAATTCCTTTTTCTCTGTTTTTTCTTCTGTCTCGCGCTCCGAATAATTTGGCAAAATTAGAAACGGTGGGCGACATCGGTCAATATGTTCATGTCCTATCAAGAACTGTTGTTATGTGAGTGCGAGTGCGTCATAAACCTACGCGTTGGGTCAGAGCGTGTAACCTTTAGCGCACCAAAGCACCTGCGGCGACCTTCGACCTCTGCGCGTCGAGTAACATTTTTGTGTGTGTGGACACGCTCTTGTATGATTTACATAGCTTACATGGTAGATTTACATGGCTATAAAGTTTTAGGGCTAAGCTCATAAATAAAATAGAAAGTACGGTATTACTAGTATGTATTACTAATTATTCTACATATGACCCTTGTATAAATAAAGTATACATCATTCCGCCAGCCGCTCCTGAGCCTACTGGAAATCCGTTGCTTCATAACTCCCACGTTGTGTTATTTCGTCCTGATATCGTCGAATCGTTGTCCTTTTAGCTCCGATTTCAACTTTGGAAACAAAAATCCGTCGGTGTCAAATCCAGCGAATACGGTGGGTAGTGTAGCACAGTAACAGATATTTTTTTGCTGAAAACTGACGATAAAAACTGCTGCATTGTAAGGTGTTACGTTATCATGTAGCAGGAATTTTCTTTTGTGTACAACTCCGGACGCACCCGCGCGATGCACTTCAATAGCTGAGCTGTATTCGAAAACACCACTCGTATGTCCTTTAATATGCACTAGCCGTTCGAAAATTATCGGAATGCTTTTGGGTGTAGTTGTTTGAAAACGTGAAAGGACCCTGCAAACACAGGTACATATCAGTTACATTGTCGTAATATAACATAATGTAACAGGTAATATAATGTGAAAGTTACATGTAACATACATGTTAGTTATAATTTCCCACTTATAGAAAGTTGCAGTTATATAACACAAACGTAACATGTTATTAAAATGTTACATAACTGTTTCATTTATTATTAAAAAGTTATATAACAGTTATATGAATTGCATAACAGTGATATAATAGTTATTTAAATGCAATAAAAGTAGAATATAAATTATGTAATCGTTATATAACCATTTCTTTATTTGTTATAAAATACACTAAGACTTCTCATTTGTCACCTATTATTTTTATCCTGTGCATATTATTTCTTCATGTATCACCATTCTGTGATCACTTGATCACAAAAAAGCGGGCAATTATGATCAAGTAATTAGAGAATAGTAACATATGGAGAGGTGATAAGCATAGGATTTATGATTTATATTGATAAAAATAGGTGACGAATGAAAAATCCTAGCGTAATAATATAATTATTATTAGGATAAGTATAGGAATAAAATAAAAGATAATTAACATATATTAACTAATCGGTAATATTTATATTAATAATAAGAAATAAGTAATATAGTATGTTATTATAAAGTAGATGTTTTAGTATTTTATAAAATAGAAAACATATTCTATAATATATTACTCTCTCTCTCTCTCTCTCTCTCTTTTTCTAATATAAATGTAGTTTATATATTACTTGTAATATAACAAAAAAGGAAATACATGTTGTAAAATCATTTTGGTATATTATATTTCCATATCACCAGCATTGTTTCCATCAATATTTTCCTTTGCTCTGTCTCTTTTATTTCGCTGGGTTGCGAAGCGTAACCATTCTGCAACAATATTTTCAAAATCTGTTTCCGTACATGTAGCATAACGCGATATCACGTCTCCTAGAAAGAAAAGGATAATACAATTAAAAACAACACGCATTATAGTAAAAAATTGTGATTTGTAATTTCAACATATCTGATATATACTTTTCATAATTTGTATAAAATGTAAATTTGATACTTTGAAATTATTTCGTAACCCTTTCCAAGAACATTTCATGGAACATTTGTTTGTTAAGGTCTTTTTGAGGATATGGTGAATATTGTTCCTGGCATCATTTCCACCTATCTTTGACAAAAACTCTTTCTAAAAAAGAAAGAAGAAAGTAAGTAAATTTAACATGTATTAAAATAAATCATGGATCGTAGAATATTGCAATAGGAATATACGATAAAATTTTGTATAATAACTTTTTCGTCTAAATGATTTCAATTTTTCAAATTGCTAAAATTTACTGATAAAAATGTAAGAACGCGGACAAATCAGAAAGAATTTAAGAATGGAAATTTTCAAACAATATCTACATCGTAATTAATGGTCGATCGTACTAAAACTTATATACTTACAAATTGTGTAACTGCTTCATGAGACGTTTTCAAGAGTACATCAAATTCTGTCATAACTTCAGTTGTTGTTAAGGGTAAAAATGGAGTTGTGAGATTATCATTAATTGTAGCAGGACTCAATGCGCGACGTTTAATGGCGTTTTCTACGTTTAATAATCGTCGTTGTATATCTTCCAGTGTAACGTTTGATGCTGCTTGCATACGCAGCATTTGTTGTATGCTATCTAAAATATAATTGAAAAGTTATGTGCACAAAGAACATTTTTAAATTGAATACAAAAATATACAGAAATGATTTACCTTTTATATTAAAATTGCTTTCTACAGGGTTTTTCAATTGGTGCGGGTCGATGTTGGCAGCCTGTGGCGGCCATGTTGTTTTGACGGCGTCTGTCTAACCTGTTGTTTATTATTCAGTCACTGATGCCAAATCACCATGACAAGTTACACGATTGAGCAGCACGTCTAAATGATAAAACTTTATTATCAAAATGAGTGTTCGTTAATACAAATGTTGCGCGTGTTGCGCCCATTTTACGGCAGACGCGATAGCCCTTCAAAGTCGATTCTCCAACGTTTGGTGGCCAAATTCGAGACGACCGGTTCGATAAACGATCAGCCAACATCCGTACGTCAAAGGAACACCAGATCAGCCGAGAACATCGCCGCTGTAAGTGAAAGTGTGCAGGAGAACCCGAGGCAGTCAATTCCTCGCCGTGCACAAGAACTCGGCCTTTCGCAGACTTCAACTTGGCGAATTTTGCGTCGGGACTTGGGCCTGCACCGGTACAAGATCCAACTGGCCCAGGAGCTCAAAGTTAATGACCATAGACAACGCCGTTTGTTCGCTGACTGGGCTTCGGAGCATTTGGAAGAGGATCCCAATTTTGGCCGAAAAATCATCTTTAGCGACGAGGCGCATTTTTGGATGAATGGCTATGTTAACAAGCATAATTGCCGTATATGGCACGACGCCAACCCACACGAAGTTCAACAGATAGCAATGCATTTACAAAAAGTTACTGTTTGGTGCGGATTTTGGGCCGGCGGCGTCATTGGCCCGTGCTTTTTTGAAAACGACGTTGGTGAGGCCATCACCGTCAATGGCGAGCGCTACAGAACGATGATAACCAATTTCTTTTGGCCCAAATTAAACGATATGGACGTGGACGACATGTGGTTCCAGCAGGGCGGCGTTACGTGCCACACAGCGGACGCCACGATGGACATTCTGCATGAACGATTTGAGGGTATGGTTATCTCTCGCAGAGGTGACGTGAATTGGCCACCAAGATCGTGCGATTTGATCCCGCTAGACTTTTTCTTGTGGGGTTTTCTGAAGTCGCAGGTCTATACCAATAAGCCGCAATCGATCGATGCCCTTAAAGTCAACATAACCCAGGCCATTGCTCAAATTCAGCCGGATCTATGTGGCAGAATCATTGAAAATTGGACCACTCGGATCCGTGCCACCGTGAGAAGCCGCGGCGGACATTTGAACGATGTTATATTCCACACATAATGGCATACATGGGCCTTTCAAATAAAAAAAGAATTTCGTTAATACCTCACACACAGCTTGTTTTATTCCATTGCAACATCGACCCGCCCTTATTGAAAAACCCTTTACGTGTTCAATCGATGGAGCGTTTCCTACAAAGTTTTAAGGATTTATATAATATTACAAAGTTAATGTTTGGTGATTGTAATGTTATAATTTATATACCTTGTAATATTATTGGTACATTGCACAGATTAGAATATTGATTTGAATGGTACGTCATAAATGAATCATTTTCTTCTTCTGAAAATATATAAATTACTATAATTGTAATTGCACCAATACTTATTTTACATTTTATTTTGTTATACAGATATACCATTATGTGGAGTTATAATATTTTTGTTTCCGCTTGCATTGGTAGCTTTTAAGACTTTGGGATATTCAATAAATTCTACGTTTGAAGAGCATGATGATGCTGTTATTTGTATGTCACTTTCATTATTGTTTAAAACATTGGAATCTTCAATAATACAATTAAAGTTCGAAGGACATGGTGGTAACGCTACTTCAATAATACCTTTACTAATTTGTTTTGCTGTAACCAAATAAAATAATTTCTTTTCAATATTACACATATACATAATATCCTTCATATACATAATATCCTTCCTATAAATATACTGTATCATATAGAGGAAAAAAATGTTTTATGTATTGTCTATACCAAATATCTCTCTTATTTTTGATTTTAGAGAAAAATGGTTCAGACACGTTTTGTATGGTTTCGAGGGGGTCATAAGATGGTACATTGATTTGACCTTGAAGAATCATTTGAAGGTCACGTGAAGGTTACTTCAATTTTTTTAGATGACACCCCCTATTTTTTATTACATATTCTTGTAGCTGACCTCAAGAGCTTCCCAAAACACTATTGTTGTGCCCGCGCGTGAAAGAAATAACTCGGGATATACTAAACGAGAAAAGCTTTATTTTCAGCCAAGAAAAACGGATCTTAATCAATTCCAAAATAATCGCACGAATTCGCTTTACGTCCGTACGCTGTGACAGGACTAGAGCGACTCTCTTATTATTCCAGTTGTTAGTAAACAAATTCCTTGACAACGATAACAGCTGTCAAACACTCTCTATATGCCTTCTTCACAGTCTTCTCCCAAGAGCGTGGGAACAATACGTTCCCCAAAGGTGTGGGCACAACACTATAATCAAATGTTTTTTGGTGAAGTATTTTTCGAGTTATAAAGCTCCAAATTTACAAAATTATGATAAAAATACAAAATATTTCGTAAAACATTCACTTTCCGATAGTTTTATCTTACATGATCCAACCAGTCAAGGCAAGATCCGAGCATGATCCAGCCAGTCAAGGCAAGACCCGAGCACGATCCAGCCAGTCAAGGCAAGATCTTCTTTTGTGTGTAATTACTTAAAGTGTTCAAAAACTTGGCCATTTACTTGTATGCATAGCTCTAGTCTATGGTGAAAGTCGTCCCTAACTTTTTCAAGAACACCTACATTAATATTTCTGCAAGCCTGTCTGATCCGTTTTTTCATATTTTCAACAGTTGTACGTTTTTGCGAATAAACTATATCTCTAATGTAGCCCCAGAAATAGAAATCTAGGGGTGTCAAGTCGGGTGATTTGGGGGCCATTCTTGAACTCGGCTGCCCATATCAATCCACCTATTCGGGAATCTATTGTTTAAATATTGTGTAACAGCTCGAGATCTATGAGCCGGTGCTCCATCTTGTTGGAACCACACTCGTCTGAGTAAATCATTGTCGACATGTCTCAAGAGGTTGGGTCTCAAGAGGTCATCTTGAAGAAATCTTAGATAGATTGCCGCATTGAGATTTTTTTCAAAAAAGTATGGACCAACAATAACATCTCCTAGGATGCCTGCCCAAACGTTAATGGACCACTACCGTTGGAACTCTTGGCTTCTCTGCCAATGTGGATTAGCATTTGAATAATAATGGCAGTTATGTCTATTAACGCCTTCTCTATTACAAAACGTGGCTTCATCAGAAAAAAGCGTATCAGCAATAAACCGGGGATTTTGTTGGATTTGATCTCGAGCCCAGTTACGAAAACGTACACGGCGTTGGTAGTCCCTCTCTTCCAATTGCTGAGTTAGATGAATGTGATATGGGTGAAACTTGTTGAGCTTGAGCACACGATTGGCTGTTGATTTAGATATACCGTATTGCCTCTCAATTTGTCTCGTAGAGATTTAAGGATTTAAAGCAACGGCACCTATAACAGTCAATGATGTGACTTCATTAGGGCCCGATTTTCGCCGGTTTCTTCTAAGAAAACTCTGTTCAGCTCTGTCGCAGAGTCTTTTTATTACTTTCCTATCAGGATGGCGTCTGTCTGAAAATCTTTCAGCATAAAGCCTTTCTGCTGCCGAATAATTATTCCTGGCCTCACCCAAAATGCGAATCATGTCCACAATTTCATTTGGTGAATAAGCAACCATAATTATAAAGAAAAAAAGCGCCAAAAACCAAAAATTCCTATCTTATCAAAAAAAAGTCAACGGATAATAATATGCGTCTGTCTGAGACTTCGCCAAAATACCGATAGTTGCCTAAGTAAGAAATTTGAAACAAGCCTCTTGATATTTGTTTCATTAAAAGAATTGACAATTGCACTTTCACAATTGTTACAGTTCATTGATTATCAGGCAGTACAGGATCTCGTCTTGACTGGCTGGATCATGCTCGGATCTTGCCTTGACTGGTTGGATCATGTAAGATAAGACTATCGAAAAGTGAATGTTTTATGAAATATTTTGTATTTTTATCATAATTTTGTAAATTTGGAACTTTATAACTCGAAAAGTACTTCACCAAAAAACATTTGATTATAGTGTTTTGGGAAGCTCTCGTGGTCAGCTACAAGAATATGTAATAAAAAAATAGGGGGTGTCATCTAAAAAAATTGAGGTAACCTTCACGTAACCTTCAAATGACTCTTCAAGGTCAAATCAATGGTACCATCTTATGGCCCCCTCGAAACCATACAAAAAGTGTCTGTACCATTTTTCTCTAAAATAAAAAATAAGAGAGATATTTGGGGTAGACACTTAAAATGGGACACCCTGTATATAGCCATGCATAAACATATATGTCCACAACAGAAAACATTGTTATGTAAAGGTTACACGACAATTTCCATAAAAAGGAGGGGATAGCGTCCATATATATACAAAAATGGCTAACACTTACAAAAAATCAAATTAATTTTCTACCGATTAGTAATGCGAGATATAGTAGAATGTTGGTTACCAGAAGTCTAATATATATATCATATATGTTCGTATATGAAATATTTAGTGTTAATAATGTATAGAAATTCAATTTTAATTACCTAGGTTTTTTCGTATTACTTCCATCCTCCCTTTTTTTATGGAAATTATAGTGTAAATATCAGCTAAAAAATGTTTATGTTTCTGGCATATAATTAAACAACGTTTAATAAAATAACATTTTTTTCTCATTTAGCATCATTATTTTCCAGGTAGACATATATAATTATATACGTTCGTATATAGCCAATATTTTGTATACAGGGTGTTCCGTAAGTCGAGGTCAATCGCTCGAGAGATGAATGGGGAATCACAAACAAGAAAGAAAGTTGATACAAACATAGGCCCAAAAATGCGTTGTTTTCGAGTTATCGCCATTTTTATGTTAAAATTTGAAATTGCTTTGCTTTCGAATTTTTTTGGTTTTGGAATTTCGATGGTTTTTATGAGTTTCAAAACACAACTAAAGTCAAATAAAAGTTGCGGGCTGCTTTAGCATTACCCAGGATGCACCGCGTGGACAGCCTGCTTAGCATCCCTTGGCAGAGATCAGGACCCCCACAGTTCGTCACTCCTGTGGTATTTAGTGACTCCAAACCCTCTCTGTCGTGTGTATGTGTGTGTGTGTATGTGTGTGTGAGTGAACGTAAAAATTATATGAGATGTTCGAAAACAAAGCTTGTATAATAACACTGTGGTATTTACCACAGGAATGACGAACTGTGGAGTCCTGATCTCTGCCGAGGGATGCTAAGCGGGCTGTACCTCCACGTGGTGCATCCTGGGTAGTGCTAAAGCAGCCCGCAACTTTTATTTGACTTTAGTTGTGTTTTGAAACTCATAAAAACCATCGAAATTCCAAAACCAAAAGAATTCGAAAGCAAAGCAGTTTCAAATTTTAACATAAAAATGGCGATAACTCGAAAACAACGCATTTTTGGACCTATGTTTGTATCAATTTTCTTTCTTGTTTATGGTTCCCCAGTCATCTTTCGAGCAATTAACCTCGACTTACGGGACACCCTGTACATAGGGTGTCCCATTTTAATGTCCCACCCCAATAACTCTTCAGTATTGAAGTTTCAAGGAAAATTATCTGAATAAAAGTTGTACGGATTTAAGTGAGCTACCTTATGGTGACCTTGACTTTGACCTTGATCTGTTTTCAAGGTTATTTGAAGGTCAACTTGCGTTTTTTAAATGGGAACCCTTATTTTTTATTACATTGTTTTTTCTACTAGTTAATTTGAACAACTTTTGTCTAAAACATTTTTTATTTGTCTAATATTTTTTGAGATATTTGAGGAAAACTTGATAACTTTTTCAATATTTAACTTACGATATCTCGTTAATTATTTGTCGGAAGAAAAAGTGGTACTAGACTTTCTTGCTTTATTTAGTCTCAAAAATATATTGTTACAATAGTGCCTTGATTTTTGTTAACTTACTGATTTTTGGAAATTTCAAAATCAAGAAATTAACAAAAATTAACAAAGATTAACAAAAAAGGGCGCTATTGTAACAATATATTTTTGAGACTAAATAAAGCAAGAAAGTCTAGTACCACTTTTTCTTCCGACAAATAATTAGCAAGATATTGTAAGTTAAATATTGAAAAAGTTATCAAATATTTCTCAAATATCTCACAAAATATTAGACAAATAGAAAGATGTTTTAGACAAAAGTTGTTCAAATTAACTAGTAGAAAAAACAATATAATAAAAAATAAGGGTTCCCATTTAAAAAACGCAAGTTGACCTTCAAATAACCTTGAAAACAGATCAAGGTCAAAGTCAAGGTCACCATAAGGTAGCTCACTTAAATCCTTACAACTTTTATTCAAATCATTTTCCTTGAAACTTCAATATTAAAGAGTTATTTGGGGTGGGACATTAAAATGAGACACCCTGTATATATTTTCGGATGACGATACTGTGAACGATAACGATGTATGATAATTAAATTGAATTATATTGCAACATAAAATATTTTGTGAACGCTTCGGATACTTTCATGCTGATAGCATCATTCTATCTTTGTTTACTCATTATGTGTCGATAAAGATGGAGTAATGCTTTCAGTTCATAAGCATCTAAATAGAATGCAATCATAATAAAACATTTATGTACGAGACGTTCTCAGATGGCACAGAGAGTTTAAAATGAATTCAGCGAATGTCAATAATTTTGAGTTCATTTTTAGATGCAAAAAGGATTCTCTTCAGACCTCTTTTCTTTTCTGACTTCTTTCCTTTTCACAAATGAGTTCTTTTTGCATCTGAAACTGAATTCAAAATTATTGACATGCGCTGAATTTTTTTAAATTCATTTTAAACTCTGTGCTGTCTGGGATTACTTTTGGTATATTTTCGGGGTTGATAAACATGTTCTTCTTCTTCTTCTTCTTCTTCATCACTGTTGAAACGACGATTTGGAACATGTTGCCTCTTTCCTCGGCCCAATCTTTCATTGTTAGTTGTATCATAATTAGAATCAGCTGCATTCTTCCGAGCTGACTCAACAGACACTACAGTAAAGAAATACACATTAACATTTAGATAACATGTAGAAAGCTATTTTTACCTAATGTTTTTATGCTAATTATTGTACACACACACACACATTATATTATTGATAATAATATATTATTGTTAATAATATTGATTATATATTAATATTTACTACAAAATTTTACGGCGTCCACTTCATGAGAATTTCAAGTGGAAAAATCGGGACTTGTACATGTCGTAATTAATGTTGCACAGTTTGCTGTGCGTGGAGGCGACCACCATTTTTGAACAGCCTTGTCTTTATACAACCAGGCTGTTGGAATTTCAGAAAATGTAAAATCCGATAAAAATTTTACGACAGCATATTTTTTATTTTCGCTGCTCATCTCGTATAATGTGGGAAATGTCCAATGTTGTAAAAACTGAAAATAAAAAGCAGCTAGTAAATATTAGTGTGACTATTTCTTAAAGCTAAGAGCTTATTAGATCCGGATTAATATAAATAATTACCATATCTCTATACTTTCTGTATCAAAATAATTATCGGTTATCTAAATTTTCATTTTCCTATTTCAATTGTATAAAAGAAAGCATAAAGTTTTCATATGTTAAAATATTATAAACTCACCTTTGCAATGTTATCATCCATTAATCAGATATCCGTTTAATATTTGTAGACTTCCAATATTTCTTTTGCGATGGTCGCCACCTTGTCGTGGTGTGAAGAAGCTTGATAGCCACAATGATCCAAAGGGATGGACTCGACTTGGAATCTTAGGATTCCAAGTTCGAGGATGAACCGAGGAGAGTGGCTACTAAGAGCGACTAATACATGTTCCGAGATGGGCAGCTGCCTCTCGAAGCATTAAGGGGGGAACCTGGTTTAAGAGGCTAAAAAAAAGGAGATTTTTATGAATTTTTTTTATTGACAATGATGCAGTTGAGGTTCCTAAAACTTTTATAATATTTAACTGCCTATTTGAAGATGTAAAAAAAATTTTTATATTGTAAAATAATTGCAAAATGGCGCCATGGTGTATCTCTAATCAAGCGCCTCGCCAACCGAGTTGCCAATCTGCGGGAAAAATGTAGCCTACAATTTTGATCTGAAACAAAAAAACCAAAAAGATTATTAATTTTCATGTATTTTTATTCTATGTGAACCAACAACATGGTTAAAAAACCGTAAAATATAAAACTTTTTAGCACTTTTTAGCACTTGAACAAAAAATGACAGTTTTGAGAAAAAATTTCCTCCGTTTTTATGCAATAACAATTATTTAAATTAATGTTTTTACCAATGTTTGAGGTTCACATAGAATGGTTGTTCATTCTCTAGCTAACGCACTTTGAATCAAGTCGATTGATCAATTAGTTTTTTCTCTATCTTTCCCGCAGATTTTAAGAAAGTACGAAAATGATATTTCGAGAAAAACGCGTTTAAAGTTCGTGGTACAAAAAAATATCATTTATTGGAGACTTCCGCAATCTTATGCTAATCAGCTATACCAGGGCCATACTGCAAGCCTTCAGCTTCTTCATAAAACTCGTTTCGTTGCATTTACTCCAGTCTACGAGCTGTGCGAGCTTCCTTGGTCGTGCTGCTTCGGCGTCGCTCCCCTCTCGTAACTCGCTGCGCATCGTAATTATCAGCGAACATTTTGCATTGCTGGCCGATATTGATTTCTAATAACTGCATTGTTAATAAAATGGCAGTATAGCCTTCATTAAAGATGTCAGTAGCCAAATATGCAGCGATTTGAACAATTTTAAAGCCCGAATTGAGATGTTTGGGAGCGATACGCCACACAGTCGAATTGAAGGATTTGTTGGAATTTTGTCTGTGCCCGCCTAAACATCTAGTCAAAAGATCTTCATTGGAAAGATCTTCATAGATCGAAGTAAGGTGTTTCTCAATATCAGGCTTTATAACTGGAGCAGGATGTTTATAGTTTACGAGTTGACCGGCAGCTTCAGCTTTGCGCCACTCGCACCAACTGTCGACGTCTGCGGGGCAATTTTCATGTTTCGGCTTTTCATCGGTCGAGCAATAGTGGTAGAGTGTTGCCATTATGCTTTTTTTCATATCACTTACAGAATCTATATTTCGTCTTATGGCTAAACCGTAGTAAGTGGTTAATTTTTTTATGACGAGATCGGTCAATCTCCCCTTGCCGCCAAGCTTCTCCTTTTTTTTATATTTCGAAGCCGCGTCCCCATCCGCTTCTGAACGTGTTCGACGCACTCACTTTTTTTTACGGGGCAATCTTCGCCATACGGATTCAAAGTCAAAATGGACTTATAAGTTTTTCTTTTTCTATGATTCTATAATAATGTAATGGATTCACAATAATATTATCAGTACCCGCTTAATTTTTTCGCACTGATGCTCTCGTCTAAATTATTACTTTCATTCTTGGAATGCTGGTTGCCACGAAATCTTCTTTTCGGCGGTTTCGAAATGCACTGCGAAGTACTTCTTGAGCCTTTTGGATACATATTTAAAACTGTCAAATGACTTTTGCTAAATAGAAACTCTTTACTCGAGAATCAGAGCAAGACTGATCGTTGAAACTATAAACTATACACACGTACACACACATAGACACGCATACCTTCATACACCTATGTGACAATCTATAGGAATGTGTAATCAAATATCGTGCTGGCATACAGCACGTATCTGTATCGGGTGAGCGCGCGGCCCACTCCAGCCGAGCGCTCGTATACTTGCGCAACGCTAACTCACCATGTATTTTATAACTTTTAAAATACTTTGAATTAGACTCTGAAACTTTGGGAATATATTCTTGAATAGTTTAACTATCGATTAAGCAAAAAAAAAATTCGAAAATCTTGACCCTATAAACCAGGTTCTCCCCTTAAGGGACTGGACGGCTGCTCTCGAGCGGCATGAAGGACCCTTCAGCGCAGGCGTTCGGACTCGTCAGCCTCGTCTTAGAGAGGCATCCGAACAAAAGGGAGAAAACCCATAACAAACCCGTGGCGATGAGGCCCGTTAGCCTATTTTCCAGGCACCCAACGATGGGACGAAAAACCCATTGTAAAAACCCAGGTATCGGACTCGTTAGTCTGGGAGGTTGCCAGACAACCCGACGAGGGGAAGGAAAACCTACTGTAAAAACCCGGGCTTGTGGGCTCGTTAACCTTGAGCAACCTATTCCGGAAATTGGAAACTCCGTTATCAAACCCGGGCGAGGGCTCGAGAGCTTGACTTCGTGGACAGGCAACATATGTGAAGGGGAGGAAGAACCCCAATACAAAATCCGGGTATCGGGCTAGTTAGTCTGGGAGGTTGCCTGACAATCCGACGAGGGGAAGGACACTCACTAAAAAAACCCGGGCTAGTGGGCTCGTTAGCCTCACGGCAACCTATTCTGGAGAGGAAACTCCGATCTCAAATCCGGGCGAGGGCTCGAGAGCTTGACTTCGTGGGCAAGCGACTGAAGCGAAGGGGAGGAAGAACCTCAATATGAAACCCGGGCGATCGGGCTCGTTAGTTTGATGATACCAGACACCCGAACGAGGGGAGGGAAAATCCAATGGAAAAACCCGGATGATCGGACCTGTTAGTCTGGCGGTGCCAGGCATCCGAACGAGGGGAGGAAATCCAAAGTAAAAGCTCGGGAGGTCGGACTCGTTAGTTTAGTTAGGCAGCCGGCCATGGTATGGATGAATGGAATCCTCTCAGCGGTTCTCGTGTGGTTTAATTCCTTCACATGGGAGTGCCTGAGAGGCAACATCCGGTGGAGCGCGCCGCGGACCCCGTGGGTCCTGGTCCTGTCGTCGAATCGGATGCCTTCTGGTTTCTGGGGGCGGCGGATAGTTGGCAACGGGGAGCGAGCGCTGTCGTGCACCCCTTGATCCGTTAGGCCAATGCTCTTGGTGGCTGGGGGGACCTTCGGATGCCGGGGGGCGGAGGATAGTCGGCAACGGTGGGCGAGCGCTGTAGTGCACTCACTGATCCGTCAGGCCGAGGTCCTGCAACATCCGGGGGGTTCGCTCGACGGTGGGAGCAGGGGTGCTCTCGGGGGACGGTGCGGGGGCTCCACGAGAGTGTAGGATGGCGTTGCCATCCAGAATAAATGTGTGTGTGGGGGGGAAGGGTTCCGGAGGGGGCTGACGACGACGCTGATCCTTGAAGGAATGGGGCTGTGGCGGTGGTGGCTGGGGTCGTCCCTGCTCCAGTGCCGGAGCGGATATGTGCGTCGAATGAACCAGCTTAGGTCGCCTCCGAAGGAGGGTTTTTCTGGGTGCCGGGTGGGCATTCCTTGAGGAAACTTGGGGGATGCACTCATCGGTGTCCCAGTATCACCCTCACAGAGGGACCGGACAGCTGTGGATGGGTGTATGGGTCGTGGAGGAATGCTACTGTTGGGAGTCGATGCCCAGTGACCCGCCCTGGATGCCGGCCGGACGGGCCATCTGGACCGTTGCCCGCCGGGACGGTGGCCTGGAAGGCTGGCTGAAAGGGGGGGTTGCGTGGTTGCGGCGGCGGTGATGGAGCCTCCTGGGTGCGTCATCGCTGGACTGGAAGACTCCCGTGGAAGACAGCTGGAGGGCTTCGCCTGACCCTGCGCCTTGGACGGTCCAGTAGGTGGTGTATACGGCCACACGATACCGCATCTAGAAGCAGTGTGTCTGGAACGCCGGTGAGCGTATCGGGATGGCGCATGGGTTACGTGCGGGATGGACGCGATCTAACCTTCCAGGCAATCTTCAGCGCAACACCCGGAGTCCAGGAAGCCTGGAGCACACACCCAGGGGTTGTCCATCCGAGTGAGAGTACTCTGGCGCCCGGCAGCTGGAGATAGTCGGCAACGGGGAATCCGCGGGGAGCGGGCGACCTGATCCGTCAGGTAAAGGCTGGCGAGCGTCGAGGCCCACTGGGAAGGGATGGTCGTTGGTTGTGCCAGGTTACTGGTCATCGGGTGGGGAAGAGGACCAAAAAATGTCCCCTTTTTACCTCCTCGATGTGGTGCCACCTTGTCATGGTGAGGAGACACAGGTGTACCCGTGATCCACTGGGGTAGTACCTTCGGTCCAACCGAAGGGATGGCCCGGTGGGAGGATCGCCTGCTAAGAACACTACGGATTCAGGGAAGGGTGGGTTTCAGGGTGGGGGGACAGGGGTGGGAAGGGGGTGGGTGTCAAGGGCCAGGGTGTTTGGCATCCTGGTACGGGGGATCCAGGCGAACCCCGGCGTACCCTAACCTACTACACCGTAACCCTAGATCATGTCTCTGGGGCCGGGGGTCTTGCCTTAACCGGCTGGACCGCGAGTCGGGTCCTCTATAAAATACCACGTAATCCTACGGTTGAGGAATGCCACGCCTATGGGATGAATGGCAGGCGTTCTGTCGCTAGTGGTTCCTCACCCGTGGAACCTGGCGCACCATGGGGACATGCTAGCCTTATCCCGGGTAATGCGGGGGCTCTATCCGGGATCGACGTCCCTTTCCCGCCGTACTCGTGGAACTCTATATGGATTCCAAAATTTTTAACACAAACTCCGAGCTTTCGCGCTCAGAGCCTTTGGACTCAAAGCTCCGTACGGATGGGCGTAGCAGCCCGTCCCAGAGCTTACCACCCCGGTAGAGGGTGATTTCTCCGATGATAGCTTGGGCGAAGAAGAAGAGGTGCAAGGAATCCGGCTGGTGGGTGCCTCCTCCTCACCCCCCGAGGAGGGTAAGGCCATGGACCTCGGGGGACTAGCTCTCGAGGGGTCATTAACAGAGAACCGACCACCGTCCTCGCCGGCGTGTAGCCGGCGGCTCTCCCCTGACCACGGGGATAGAGAGGTGAGCCCTTCAGCTAGGTTAAAGGCGGCCACCCATCGTGGGACCACGAAGTCCCTGGGGTCCGGGACCAAGACCCAGGGACCAACAGGCTGGGTCCCCTGGGCGGTAATTGGGCGTGGGGCTCCTGTAGAGCCCTGGGGTCGGGGTGTCGGGGAGGGAATGCAGGCGCAGTTCCCCTGACTCCCCCCACTTCGGCCCGATCGGTAGACACCGGTGGGGTTTTAGTGAGTAAGAGTCTCACATAACCCCGCCTCCTCCAAGAGGCGGGAGTATCCATGATGGATTTCTCCACCG